TGACGCAACGTATAGAAAACGTACTGTCGCTGTTGCGTTGTTCCTCGGTTGACGTAAAGAAGCGAGAGGTGTGAAAACATCGCCTCGGGAGAAGGGGGAAGGAGATGCTATGGAACAGCTGTTGTGGGTGCCCGAGACATTGCGTGCCCCTAATTAGGGCATGGCAGGGATAGTAAGGGAAGAGCAAGGTAAAGAATGCGGTCGGAGGAGCCCAGTGCATACGTTTCATGTTTGAAGAGCTGTCTGTCGGAACTGATGGCTGCCCCGTTGTTTATCACCGCCTCTTCCATCCGGGACTCAGGTCGGTCCAACACGTCTAAAAATGGAATTATTATAAAACCTGGACGAAAATATCTTCAAAATTTATGTTACAGTTCTTATAATGTCTTGGAAATATTGACCTACATTAACCCCGTTTAATATTCTCCTTTTAATGTGGAGAAACATGGAAAAGATAGCCAAAGATCTACAGTCCAGGTGAGGCGCGAGAGCCGTTGAGACACCGGCCAGAAGCGCCCGAAGGAGACACGAGACGAAGAAAAAATGAAAATAAAACCAGTATCAGATTTAAACGAATTATTCTTACTGCACCTCCACACCGCGCTTTCTAAAGGAGCTTAGAGACCCTTTTGTAATGACGACTTAATTCCAACGTGATTATCAACACAGACAAGACGGATGAAGCTGAGACAACGCTCCACCTCGCTCGCCTCTGATCTCTCGATCTCGAAGACTCAAGTTACAATCGGAATGTCACCGGGCGGGAGATTAGAGTGTAATGAACTTTGTGGTGTATTGGGCTGCGAGTCGGGGATCCAGTCGCCGACGAAACACACAGGAAGGCGCACGAGAAGACACGAAGGCCGCAGGAAGTCCCCTTGGTCGACACTCGGGAAAGTCTTGGGCGTCCGGGGGTGGGGGGTGCTTGGGGCGAAGGCAGTTGGGGTGGGGGAGGATGAAGTCAGCGTCGTCAGGATCTGCGTCAGTCATGTAATAAAGTGCGGGTCCGTAATATACGTCAGATCAAAGGGCGAGTTGAGGCGTTGACCGCGCCGCGACGAAGTTTCATAGCCTGCGCATTCTCGTCCTCGAGTGGTACTGGCGTATAGGAAAAAAATAAATCCATACCACTTCCCTTCGCTATCGACATCTGCTTTGGCGATCAAATAGGTTTACTACAGTACAGATAATTCAGAAGCCACGGAGATGAACACAAGAGGAGGAAAAGAGCGGGAATGAGTAAACGTAGTCCCGTTCGACTACAGGAGGCTCGCGCCAGTCACTTCCCTCCGAATCCGCACGCAGGACCCCACGCGCCGAGAGAAGACGAGCAGCGACCGCAAGAACGAAACTTCGAGAGGGAGCGCTGGATCCGCCGAGAGACTGGCATTCCGGTGCCCGACGGCTTCTACGACCCTAGTTGCCGCCGCACGACAGATGGCTGCCGGCCGATGAGACGCGCGCGCATCAGTACTCGCGCAGGTTCGCTCCCCCATCCCGCGGAACGAGAATTCGCAGGCGGAATCAAGCCTGGGGCAGGGTTCGGTCCCCAGGGGGAGATGGAAAGGAGAGGAGAGGAGGGGCGGATGACCGGACAGACAGAGTCCGAATATGCAACAGGACAGACAGACAGGGAAGCCAACAGAAAATACATTGACATCGAGCCCTCGCTTGTCTCTGATGATATTACAACACATACCCAATAGGTGGGTCAGAGTGCGTCACTCCTTATGCTTTAACACTACAAGCCAAAATTATCTATTTCACTTTTTTAACCGCATGACTACTACTTATTCTTCTGCTTTTCAGCTCGGCTTGAATATGGAAGTAGAGGGAACGCGCGATCTCTCAAACTTTTCGTTAAAGTTGCGAATAATTGGGAGAGAACACAGAGACAAGGACATGAGATATAACTATCCGCTCAGTGAATGATATGCAGAAACAGAATAGAGGATAAGAATAAATAGATAGTTTGACTCTCCAGTACTCACTTCTACGCGACACCTCTTAGATCCCTTAATGTAAAGTCGTCCTCCCTAATAATGGTAACTTAAATCTTGCGAAACATATTCTATTATGAATTCATGTGAGTAAAGTAAACGTTGTGGCTCTAAACATGTCTTCTCTCTGTGTGTCTTTCGTCTCATAAAATCTGAGTTGTGATATGTCTCTGCCAGTGTAATGACACTTCGAGATTAGAAAGAAACTCAGAATCAAAGCAAGGAGAGAGATAGAAGGAAAGATAATAATATATAGAGGCATTAATAATAATCGGAGAGAAGGCAAGTAAGTTCTAGTGCGCGCATACGGTAGGGCTGTTAGAGTTACATATATGGCGTTGATGAATTTAAGGGCAGATTTGGCGTTAGATATTGATCCTCTCTCTCCTTGACGTATTTACGGCGTGTCGTGTAGATCAAGGTAAAAAAGAAAGACTCATTTTAATAGTTACTTCTGTCTTAATTCCACTTTTCCCTTGCTCTCTCAGCAAATTTCTATATGAGAAAGCGCCTACCAATAACATTTTTTATTACTAGCAAATCGAGACATATGTACAGAGTCTGCAAAGGTAATGTATACAAGTAGTGTTATGTGTATTCAGGAAGTTAGTGACGTGACCTACATTCAACAAAAAGATAAGACAATAAAGAGAAGCAAACAAAATAAACGATAAAGCACCAGAGAATTTTCCGATTTAGCGACATGTATAGTAGACCTGAGAGAGAGAAGAAGTACGTGTAGGGTCCAGCGACAGCATGAGAGACTTATGTTCAAATGTTATATAGAGCATAGCATGGTTTTTAGAGCAGAGCATGAGAGAAAAGAGAAGGCAAGAAGTAGACGACGCGTAGAGAGAGCTGATTATCGATTCAGGTTAAGACGAGGAGGACAGGAATCAGAACTAAGAGAAACACAGACAGAACAAACAGAGCAAAAGACTTAGAGAGAGCGCGAAGACAAAGAGTACAATAGGAAGGGAAGAAGAAGACACAATAGACTGAGAGCACGAAAGGAGAACAAGAGTAAACGACAGATTACATAGAGACAGACGAGAGCGAGGTACATTCGAGACAGACACAGGGAGAGAGTGAGCGAACAGAGCGAGAAGAAAAACAAGAATAACGATAGAATAGAGAGAAGAAAGCGAGGAGACAGCCGAGGAAGAGAAAAAAGATAACACAGAGAAAGGTAGGCAGGACTGCTGATGGAATTCTTTTATGATGAAGCAAAATAATGAACGATATAGAGATTCATGATCGAAAGATAGGTGAATAACGCGCGCTCGATTATTGAAGGGAATATCACCCATCACTAAGAGATAAAATAATAAGAAATTAAATTCGAGAAACAAATTCAAACTAATATTCATAACACTCACCTATCCAATAAAAAAAGGTGAATTATGGCATAATAATTGATCGCACATTGGATCCCAGCTGCCTGGTAATAATAGTAATGTGTAATTAATAGCATTTGAAATGGGAGTTCAGTCATAGATGCTATAGGTAAGAAGAGAGAGGTGATAGGATAATCAGAATTCCGAGGTAGATGAATAGATAATGGATACTAAAGTAAAGACAATGATAATTGCCGAAACTGAGTTGATTATAGAAAGTAATAATAATGATGATTATAAATATATGCAATAATGAATGAAATAACAATCGATTTGATAGAATAGATGATTATGACAGTAAATAACAACAATGAAAATTCATTCATAGATAACAATGATGGTCATAATGAGGTAGATGGTGTCGTTCGGGTGCTAGTGATTGTGACAATAAATAGGTGTGAGTGAAAATTATAGTATTATAATGTAATTATGATGATGAAAGATAAACAATAGAATTGAGTAGATAGACCTCACGATTGGTAATATTGAAAAAGTAAATGAGAAACCGACAAGAAAAGAAACGATAAAACAGTGAATAAACGAAGGTTGAATTATACGAGTAATTTGTGGTTCAATGATTGATGCATCAGAAGGCCAAATAACCTCCCTGTAAAACCATAATTCAATTTTTCTTTGTGTTTTTCCTGTCCTTGATAAATTGCAATGCGAACGAAAATATGGAGTATTCAGGGTATTGATGATTTTCGAGTGCACGTCTGAGCTCAGTACGAGAAGAGATTACTCGCATGTGCGCATATTCTTGGGAAACGATGTTCTTTTGTGAGAGTATGAGAGATGTATGGAGTACAGACTGAGTAAGGAAAAGAGAGAGTGAGTGAGAAAGTAGTACTGAAATTCAGGATACATGGTGAAGGTCCCTTGTGTAAGATCCTGCATTTGCTAATCCTTAACTCTTCGATCTGTTGAGCCTTCTAGACCGGAGGAGAACTAGAGGATGAATAAGACTATATATACAATCCTTCTTCCTCAAGGGCGCCTGGGTTAAGGTGGACAAGAACGGGCGATAAGGTGTTTCTCTCGTAGTGTTCCCCGAGACTCTGGCCCGTGCGGCCGTCGGTCTGACAAGTACTCTGGTTCGCCACTCACTCATTGGTCGAGGCTGCCTCAGTGACTTAGATACCGAGGCTCGTGGGTGTCGGCCGAATGTTCCACTCACTTTCGCCCTCTCCCGCTCCTTTTCGTCCAAGCACGCGGGGATTCTGGAGCGTTTCTGCTTGCGTTTTGCTTCCTTTCGGCTGCTTGTCCCTTTGGTTTGCTGAAGGACGCAGGCGCAGAAGGAGATAAGAGATAAAAGAGAGGTGTTTCTCTTCGGGGAGAGGGAGAGCTAAGAACCACGGCAAAAACAAAAACTGATACACATACAGCGAGGGCGGGACGATGTGTGAGTGTGCTAGCGTGTGCGTGTGTGTGTACGTGTGAGTGTGTGTGTTGGTGTTCGTGGCAGTGTGCGCGACGGCACTGAGATCAACAGAACACCAGTTAGTCGGGTCGGAGGCTCGGGTAGTCGAGTGAAGGTTCGCCACGTGCTCTCTGTGATTCGCTCTCGTTCCCGCTCCCGCAGTTCCCCGCCCGTCGCCCGCCGCACAGCGCCTCTTGTATAATTCCGTGTACCACCTCTGTGTCCATGTGCATTACGTTCTGTACTTCGGATAAGAATTTGACTTCTCTAAGCTCGCCTCACTTCGACTTGGAACGCTTAGTTGTATAGCGGATGTAGAGCATCTCAAGAACTCAGTTGAATTGGTGAGGAAATCCAAAGTGTGATAGAATTCAGTTCGAGCTCCCGAGCAGTTCCGCGGGACACACTCGACTTCAGATTTACGTGGAAACAAATTCTAGATTGACGCATGTTGGACCATCGCTGAAACCAATGAAAAGCCACGACTTGACACCTCCTCTGTGCCCGGAGGGACTCTCACTTAGACGCTGAAACGGAAATAAGTGACGAATACAGGCCGCCCTTGCAGGAGCATGGGCTAACTGAATCCCGAAGCAGCACCTGTAGAAAATGTAGCTGTTGTGGCGACGTGGTGGAAGTCTTCTCCTCGTCGCCTGTGCCACTGCCACCGCTTAGCCCGGGCCAGTACGCACGAGTTGTAATTTGCATATGGTCATCGACGGAAAATAAAACATCGACGGATTTCTGATGTTCCGGTGACGAATAAAAAAGACTAATAGCCTATTAGTACCAGTGATGCAAATGAAACAATTTATTTTGAACTGCGTCCATTCTTGTTTACGGTGAAGTTACCAAACCCATGTGTGACGGTGTTGTGAGGCCCAGCATGTTCGAAAGATCTGCAGTCTTTGAGTGAAGTTTTACCTCGGTGGCATTGTGAGCAGTGCCCGAGTGCCTGTGCTGGAGACGCCACCAGGTTCAAGTGTCTGTCGTTGTGTCCACCAATGAATCCCAGACACCTTCCATTAGGAGTGCCACCAACCCTTCTTGAGGTAATTGTATAGTTGAGTTTTCTTTGGCCTTTCATTGTATGTTTGTGTGCCTGTGTGTGCGTGCGTGTGTGTGAGTGTGTATGTGTGTGTGTGAGTGTGTGCGTGCATGTGTATGGATGTGGGTGGGTGGGTGATGTAGATCAAACATGATTGTTTCCTAATTACGAGTTGCACTTATTAGAAGCAAGTATCTATCGTACACACTCTCCGTAATATCATTTCCGCCACGATTATTAAGAGGAAAAAATGTTCCTATTGTCTTATGAAATCTCAATGACTAAAGCCCAGATGCAGTGTATTTATCGTGTCCTCAATGATTCATAATGAAAGTGTCTCATCATCAGCAGGACACTGGCCTTGGTGTCTCCCCATGACCTGCTTAAATCTGCTCAGTTTCTGCTGATTGTGAATGCATTAGACTCTACCGAATCAACAATTCTAATCAATTCTATTCAGTTATCGCTTCGGCTGTTTTACCACACTTGAAATTGGAGAGCAGGGATTTCTTTGGCGTAAAGTGTCGTCGGAATGCTCATCTACCGAAGTGAAGCCATGGACATCACCCCCCACCCCTCCCTTGCATGGAAGTGAGTGAGAATATCTAGAGGCTCCTAAAGTTTCCTTGCTAAATCTTGCGTAACCCAGCCCGACCACGTGCCTCTGGCCCACATCGCATGTCTCGGGAGCACACATTATGAGCAAGGATTCGCCGTGTTCTCACACCACCGCTATGAAACCCGACATTTCATCCTTCCCTTGTGACCCTGCGGATACTGGTCTGTGGCCTGTCCCCTCCCCCACCCCCTTCTGTGCCAGATCTGTGTCATGATCACCACCGCAGCCGTTACTGCATCACCCGTCACCCGTCGCTGCACTGTACGTCACCCTTCGCTGCTTAATCCCGTCACTCACCATTACTCTTCACGTCATTCAGCTTTTCTCAATGTCAATGCCTTGACAGTTATCGGCGATTCATTGACAGGACCTTAGCATCACAGCTTCCTCGCGGTGACCTGATAGCGCCCTCTACCTGTGTCTCTCGCTCGATGTGGAATTACGTGCGTCTGTTACTTACTATGGCCTTCTTGATGAGTCTTGAGAACTATGTGAGTCAGCTGTTCATGTTTAGCTCAAATGGATGCTCTCTCTCTCTCTCTCTCTCTCTCTCTCTCTCTCTCTCTCTCTCTCTCTCTCTCTCTCTCTCTCTCTCTCTCTCTCTCTGGTACTTTCACTTATCCTCACTCTATTGTTTCTCTCTCTTACTTTCACTGTCATTCTCTCTCTCTCTCTCTCTCTCTCTCTCTCTCTCTCTCTCTCTCTCTCTCTCTCTCTCTCTCTCTCTCTCTCTCTCTCTCTCTCTCTCTCTCTCCTCTCTCTCTCTCTCCTCCCTCCCTCCCTCCCTTCTTCCTCCCTCCCTCCCCTTCCCTCCTTCCCTTCCCTTCCCTTCCCTTCCCTTCCCTTCCTTCCCTTCCCTTCCCTTCCCTTCCCTTCCTTCCCTTCCCTTCCCTTTCCTCCCTCCCTTCCCTCCCTCCCTTCCCTTCCTTTCCTTCCCTTCCCTATCCGTGTTAGGGTCCTTCCATCAGAGGTTAGTGTCTCCGTGTGGTTAGAAGATGGGCACGGAATAGCCACTCAGCGAGCCAGCGGTAATGGGAGATTTCAATGCGTCGCAAATACAGATCTAAGTCCATGTCGCAATGTGTTGATTTAGTTGGCGTAATGTTGTTAGGATAGAGAGAGAGAGGGGGGGAGGAGAGAGAAAGGAGAGGGAAGGAGGGGGGAGGGAAAGAGCGAGATAGGGAGGAAAGGAAGGAGGGAGGAGGGAGATAGGGAGGAAAGGAAGAGGGAGGGAAGAGAGAGGAGAATCAGCGAAAGAGAGAAGAGCGAAAGAGAGAGAGAAGAGAGAAGAGGAGAATGACAGCGAAAGAGAGAGAGAGACCACTGCCATGGTTAGCAGCGCTAGATATCTCAACCTGCCTGACCTGCAGTTGGTCCAGACCATCCTCTTCATTATACCGTGTTATCAAGCTTTATTACCATGTTTATTTAACAATAGAAGCCACACATCCAATATCTACTGTAAGAAGAAAGTAACGAAAAGAAAAAAAAAAGTATATGAATGCCACCACACAACTGAACGATATCGCGTAGTTTCGTTCTCTTGCGAAGTCAACGCAGAAAAAAAAAGATAAACGTAAAGTGCTATTATTTCGCAGCTTGCCCTGTTATTCCGCGACGAAGGACACGAAACTAGCAGCATACTAGCGCCCACTTCGCGTCCAGCCGCACGGAAGAGCTTTCGGAGAGAAAATAAATCCAATAGATTCATTTCTTAATTGGCTTCTGTAGCGCCATCGTCCGGCCCGGATCTCGGCTCTCTCGCAGAAAACGGGCGCCATTTTGCAACCGACTCGGTAGGGGCAAGAAGGAGGGGGTACGGAGGGGAAGGGGGAGAGAAAGGGGGAGAGGGGGTGAGGGGTAGTTGGTGAGGGGTGGGTGGGAGG